TCATCATCCCCTCCACCACCACTTCCTCCTCCTCCTCCTCCTCCTCCTCCCATCATCCCTCCCACCACTTCCTCCTCCCTCCTCCTCCTCCTCCTCATCATCATCCACCTCCACCACCACTTCCTCCTCCTCCTCATCATCATCATCATCCACCTCCACCACCACGTCCTCCTCCTCATCATCATCATCATCCACCTCCACCGACACTTCCTCCTCTTCCTCCTCCTCCTCATCCTCATCATCATCCACCTCCACCATCACTTCCTCCTCTTCCTCCTCCTCCTCCTCATCATCATCATCATCCACCTCCACCACCACTTCCTCCTCCTCCTCGTCCTCATCATCATCATCCACCTCCATCACCACTTCCTCCTCCTCCTCCTCCTCCTCATCATCATCCACCTCCACCACCACTTCCTCCTCCTCCTCCTCCTCATCATCCACCTCCACCACCACTTCCTCCTCTTCCTCCTCCTCCTCCTCCTCATCATCATCCACCTCCACCACCACTTCCTCCTCTTCCTCCTCCTCCTCCTCCTCATCATCATCATCCACCTCCACCACCACTTCCTCCTCCTCCTCCCTCCTCATCATCATCCCCTCCACCGCCACTTCCTCCTCTTCCTCCTCCTCCTCCTCATCATCCACCTCCACCACCACTTCCTCCTGCTCCTCTTCCTCCTCATCATCCACCTCCACCACACTTCCTCCTCTTCCTCCTCCACCGTCACCCCTCCCCTCCTCATCCCTCCCCCCACTTCCTCCTCTTCCTCCTCCACCGTCGCCTCCTCCTCCTCCTCATCCACCTCCACCACCACTTCCTCCTCTTCCTCCTCCACCATCGCCACCGCGGCCTCCTCCTCCTCATCCACCTCCACCACCACTTCCTCCTCTTCGTCCTCCACCGTCGCCTCCTCCTCCTCCTCCTTATCATCCACCTCCACCCTTCATCCTCTTCCTCCTCCACCGTCGCTGCCTCCTCCACCTCCTCCTCCGCCACCACCACCTCCTCCTCTTCCTCTGCCACCACCACGTCCTCCTCCTCCTCCACCTCCACCATCGCCTCCTCCTTATACTCCGCTGCCACCACCTCCTCCTCCTCCCTTACCTTTCTTTGTTCTTCTTCCTTCTTCCTGGCGATGGTAGCCGCCCCAGCCCCATGCTGGGGAAGGGTAGGCCAGAGACTCTTCCCTCCTGGTGGTGCTCAGCAGTAACTCAGCAGGGACTGGACTTGGGAGGCTCAGCTCGTGCCCCCTACCCTGACAGCATCCTGGGGGTTCCTGGCTCTCTGGTCCTCAGCGGGGTGGACCTGTCCAGGCCATTCTCAGTGCTGCCACCTTAAGGGCATCTGGGAGGCCCAGGTAGGCCAGATTTGTCTCCTGAAAAGGACTTGGGCACCCATGGGCTCTGCCCAGCCTCCTGGTCTCCCCTTGGGTCCCCTTGTGCAGCAAGGGCCCTGGCCTCAGTCCTCCCTGGCTTCACTCAGCAGCCAGCAGCCCATCAGGTCTGTGCACACACCGCTGCCAACAGTGAGGCTGTGGCTGGTGCCGGCCCTCTGGGCCTGGCCGGGCAGCTGGCCTGGCCAGGCTCTGACCCGGCTCTGACCCATCCTGTCCCACAGATGGCACTGTACTTCTGCTCGGGGCTGCTGCAGGACCCGGCGCAGTTCCGGCACTACGCCCTCAACGTGCCCCTGTACACACACTTCACCTCGCCCATCCGCCGCTTTGCCGATGTCCTGGTGCACCGCCTCCTGGCTGCTGCTCTAGGTGAGGGGTGTGATTGGGGCCAGGGCAGACCTGGGCCAGCTCAGGGCTGCCCATCCCCACAGCGGGTGCTCGGTGGCCCAAGACCACTCTGCCGTGACCGCGGAGGTCCAAGGGTCGGGCGACCCAAGCACAGGGGAGCCTGATCTGGAAACTCCCTACGGGCCAGTGCCGCAGAAGCTGCAGGGGGCCCACAGCCAGCCCTGGACACGGCCAGGAGGAGGGCGCTGACCTCAGAGGGCTGCTTTCTGCTGCCCTGGGAGCTGGGTGCTGGGGTCCTAATCTGTTGCCGGGGGTGCATGCAGCCCATCCCCCAACCATAGCTCTTCCCAGCCCCACAGGCTCCCACCCTCATGCCTTGCCTACTCCCCCATACAGCACCGCCCACCACCCTGCCCCCTCTTCCCAGGCTATAGGAAGCAACTAGACATGGCGCCCGATACCCTGCAGAAGCAGGCGGACCACTGCAACGACCGCCGCATGGCGTCCAAGCGCGTGCAGGAGCTCAGCACCGGTCTCTTCTTTGCCGTTCTGGTCAAGGTGAGCCCTCCAGCCTGGTGCCCCTCACCTCCCTCTGGCTCCCGACCCTCCTGGGCACCTACTCACCAGGAGGCCTCGAGGAGCCCAGGGCAGTGCCAGGAGGTGCCATGGCTGCAGCACTGTCCCTGCAGGAGAGTGGCCCCCTGGAGTCAGAAGCCATGGTGATGGGCGTCCTGAACCAAGCCTTCGACGTGCTGGTGCTGCGCTACGGCGTGCAGAAGCGCATCTACTGCAACGTGAGTGCCCTGGGAGAGCCCAGGGGTGGGCGGGGCAGCCCAAGCCATCCCACACTGGAGGGGTATAGGCTGTGATGGGTCACACTCCACCCCTCGCTCCCCCAGTCCTAGCACAAAGCCCACCTGATGGGCCTTGCAGAGACGCCCAGCTCTCCCGCCTGGAATGGTGGCTCCAGGCCCAGGGTCAGGCCTGGCCCTCTTCCCCAAGGACCCAGGAACCAGAGAGCAGGCCCCTCCATGGCCAGTACAGCTCGGCAGGGTGTGCAGGCTTTGGGGACCATGTTTATAGGAATGTGAAGGAATGAGAGGCCAGAGAATGGTCCTTGGCCGCTCTGGAAACTGTCCCCTGAAGACAAGGAAGAGAGCTGTCCCTGGCTTGGCTCCTGCCCTGAGTGACTGTTGATTCACAGTTCTCTCCAAGGGGACGTGGGCCTGTCCTAACGCCGCCTTAGGGGCTTGGCTCCAGCTGGCCCTGGGGTCTGCAGGTCACCACCTGGGCCCTGTGCCTGGCTTTGAATTTCCTAACATCCAGAGTGCCCTGGGAGTACAGTGTCCAGCCCGTTGTGTGCAGTAAACGTGGTGTTCCTAACCTGGAGCTGGGCAGAAGAGGAAGGACAGAGTCCCCCTGCTGACCCTCGGGACTCTGTGTCCTGAAGTTCAAGTCTGAGTCACCCTGCTGTGGGCCCAGCCCTGCCTGCACTGACAGATGGCACCAGCAGGGGGCGCAGTGCTCTGCCGCCACAGTTCTCTGTCCCCACCTCAGTGCAGTCAGCCCTGGACGCCCCCACCACTTGCCCACAATAGCACACAGAGCTACGGGCCTTCCCAGTCCCCACCCCTGGCCCTTGGTCACTCTCACCTGCTGCCTCAGCCACAGGTGGCCTGGCAGGGCCTCCCTGAAGCTCCCTCCAGCCAGCCAGGGCCCAGGACCGAGGGCGGAGGGCTGCCTCCAATTGAAGCCCTCTAGGGTGGAAGGCCAGGCAGCAGCACCCAGAGCTGAAGCCTGAGGCTTGGTGTTTGCACTCCAGGCACTGGCCCTGCGGTCCCACCACTTCCAGAAGGTGGGAAAGAAGCCGGAGCTCACGCTGGTCTGGGAGCCTGAGGACATGGAGCAGGAGCCAGCACAGCAGGTCAGAACCCCTCTGTGTCCCAGCTCCCCAAGTCCTGATGACCCCTCTCCTGCCTCCTGCGGTGCCCCTCATTCCCTCATCTGTGTCCCCTGGGCTCCCCCAGCACTGCAGCCTCCCGGTGGGGTTCAGGGCCTGCAGGCCCTCCTGGCTTACCCAGACCCCTCTTGAAGGTCCTGCTTTCTGGCACCACCTTCCCTTCCTTGGGGGCAACCACGGTGGAGAGAGAGGCGGGGCTCTGCCTGTCCCTCTAATGCAGCAGGGCTGCTGGCCTTCTGGGGTCCTTTTAAGAACCTGATAAAAGCTATGAATTTACAAGCAAGAAATTGCCTGGAACCGTTTTCACCAACAATGTGCCCTGAAGGTGGACCCGGGCCCCCAGGTTGTGTTTCATAAGCCTTGGGAGTGCTCAGGATGCATCTGACTCCCCAGCTCTGCCCTGACCCAGAGCGTTCTTCCTGGAGGGGACCCCCATTACAGACAGGCAAGCAGAGGCTTCCAGAGGCCAAAGGAGGGGCCTAGGGTCCTGCTGCAGGGATGGAGGCGGAGCTGAGCCTCAACATCAGGCCCTGCCGTCCTTGTCCCCTCACGGCCGGGCTCTGCACAGGTCATCACCATCTTCAGCCTGGTGGAGGTAGTCCTGCAGGCAGAGTCCACAGCCCTCAAGTACAGCGCCATCCTGAAGCGGCCAGACACCCACGGCCACCTGGGCCCTGAGAAGGAGGAGGAGGAGGAGGAGGAGTCTGATGGTGAGCCCGAGGACTCAAGCACCAGCTGAGCTCTGCCAGCCGCCTGCCCCACCTGCCTGTCCTGCCACACTGGCTTTAGGAACAGGACCTATTGACACAGAGGGGGATTTTTAATTTGGTTTTTAACAACTCAGGGGTTTGTTTTTACTTTTATTTAATTTTTACAGCTCAACTTTTAAACAAACTGCAGAGGAGAGGGTGGGGCTGGAAGGAAGGCTGAGGCCTGGTCAGCAGTGACCCCAGCAGAGCGGGCCCCAGTCCCCCTGGGAGGCCGGCCCCCCTTTTTTCTGGGCCCTACTGCCCTCCTCTGCCCAGGAAGTGGGGGGTTTCTGCAAATCAGTGTCACAGAATAAAATCAAGTGTGGAGTGCCATCTGGTGTGTGGGGCACCTCTGGGAAGCCTGGGCAGTGGAATGCCCCTTGCACCCAGGGCAAGGGACCCAGCTCAGGCTCCACCCCTCGCTGCTGAGCCGATGTCACCGCCCGGAACCTTCCCGTCAGTTCCAGCACGATTCAGAGTCGGCTACGTGGCAGATTGATGCCGGAGTCTCATTCTGCCTGATTAAAAATGTAATTAGTATGCAGGACTGAGAGCGCCCCCGTCACCCTGCCCCCGCTTCCTCCTGCACCAGCTCTGCAGGGCCTGGTGGGGGTCATGGGTCCTGCAACACCGTCTCCCCGCAGTTCCTCAAGCAGCACTCTGTGAGGCCCTGTGCCCGGCTCTGGTGTGAGTTGGTGCCCTGGCAGCGCTAAGGGAGACTGGACAGAGAAGCTGGCCTGGGCCCGGTGGAGGGGAGGAGGGCCCTCAAGTGGGTTCCCAACCAGGAGGGGAAACCGGCTCCTGGTGACACAGCCTGGCCCCATTGCCCACCCAGTGTCCCGAGTACCCACGGATCCCACCTGCCTCGAGTCCCGGGCAGAGCTGGCCGGCCACTGGGCAGTCCCTTCCCCAGCCAGCCCGACCCAGCCTGCACTCCTTCCCCCTCCGTGGGGGAAGCTCCGTGGCTTGGCTTCCCCGAGAGCTGCCAGAAACTAGGATGAAAGCCCCGGTGAGCACGGCCTCTGCTCCCCCGCACCATTTCCTGGGGTGTCTGGATTAACAAGCTCATTTGATCTGGTTACAGTGAATTTTCTTCAAAGAAACACTCAATCGGGTCCCTTGTCAGAGTGCCTCGCAGCACCTGAACGACGGTGACTGGGCACGGCTGCCTTTGTTCTGCCACCGTCAGATGGGGCTGGCTGTGGGAGGCGACCAAAGACGTCCCCGCACCTGCCCTCGGAGCTTTTCCCTCCTCCAGGGCTCAGCCACCTCAGGCGGCCTTCAGTCTGTGCGTCCTGCCACCCCGGAGATGTCCCAGAGGCCACGGTCACCCCATCTGTTCCTGCCCCCAGAACCTTCTCCTGGAGCCAAGTATCTGCAGGGACAGACAAGCGAGCATCTGGGGGTTTGGTGCTGGGGTGTAGAAGGCTGTGGGGTGCTGCCCTGCCCCAGGCAGCCTGACTGTGACAGCCCCAAATAGGAGACATCCCAGCCCCTTCCCCTCCCCTCTACACTGCCCGCCCTCTGAGGAGCAGTGGCCAAGTTCCTCTCTGAACCTCTCAGGCCAGGCTGGCCCTGTCCCCCAGGGCCTCCCATGAAGCCTGGGAGCTATTCCCTCACAGGCAGCACAGACCTGGACGGACACCTGTCCCTGTGACCCAGCGCCCCCAGGCCCCAGTGAGGAGTAGCCGGGGGGTGAACAAGGGGGTTCCTGCTGCCTGGACTTGTTTGGGAAGCAGATGCTGGGCTCAAAGGTTCTTCAGACAACCTCACCTTCCCTGCTGGCCCCAGAGCATGGCAGGTCCCTGGAGCCGTGGAGGCCATGGCAGCCCCAGCCCAGCCCACCCCACCCCATCTGGGGAAGTGGAAACCGTATCCACGAGGGTCAGTTCAGGTCTCTGCCTACAGTGACCTGGCAGTTTTGTGCCCAACTAGGGCCTGGGTCAGGCCCAGGCTGCCCCCACACCCTACCCAGAGTTCAGAGAAGACGGCCCAGCCTTCTCCCCACGTCAGTCATGCTGAGCCCCGCGTCTGCGTTCACTCCTTTAAGGAACGTGGTTGACTCAATTCAGTGCTGCATATTCACAGGATGGCTCTCCATGGGTCCACTAGGGGCCCAACCTCTTATGTGGCCCCTCGCTAAAAGGACTCAACAGAAAGAGTGACCAGGCACTGACCCTCGTTTGCAGGAGGACTTGGCCATTCCCTGAGCTGTCCCACAGCACCTGCCGGCCAGGGCCCAGGGCACAGAGCGAGACTCTGTCTTTTCCTCAAGGAGACACCATGGGGGAGGGAAGGAGAGGTAGACACCACCAACCTCATCCCATGACCAGGGGCTGGCGACGCTCAGAGGCCTGTGGGTGTGTTCTCCACCCTGAAGGGTCAGTGCCAGCTCCCTGGACCCAGGGGAAGATGACGCAGGCGGTGGCCCAGCCTGGGGAAGGAACTGAAGCCACCCTCCTGGAGAGAAACTGACGCCTCCCCAGTTCCTGTTAGGAAGGACCTCAGGAAAGAACTGGGATCAGGCATCCTGGGTTGGCAGCCTTTTGGCCCCTGAGGAGGATGTCAGGCCGCAGAAGGGAGGGGATGGGCATGAAGCTTGGGAAGGGGGCGCCAGAGGAGGCAAGGCCTGTGCAGAGGCAGCACCGGAGGCCACTGCAGTGACTCCACCACCCAGCAGTGCCGCCACGAGTCAGGAAGTGGGAGGCCAGGCAGGAGGGGCTGTGATGGCCCAGGTGCCAGGAGAAAGGGCTGAGGGGACAGTGCAGGCGTCCAGAGAGGCCTCGCGGGGACAGGCTGAGAAAGTCACAGGTGGGGATGGGCTTTCTCTAGAGTTGTGTGTGGCCTGAGGACAGTGCAGCAAGGAGGGCCCGTGGTGAGCGCATGCAGCTGAAGCGACAGCTTGGACTCCTTTGTGGGACAAGAGCCTCTCGAGGCCACTGCGGGGTGTTCAGAGAACAAGGCCTGTGAGGATCTGCTGTGCCTGCAGCTGGTCAGTAGAACACTGGGTGTGCAGGGCCAGGGTGGGAAGGAGGAGAGCCGCATGGACGAAGGAGCCGGGCCTGCCCAGCAGTGCCTTTTGGGAGGGCAGGCAGGATGGGATGTGCAGCTGTGACCTGCCGGGCATAGAACTCCTTCCGGCCGGGGAGAGGAGGTCCCTTTTAGCCAGAATGGACCAGGAGGTCCCAGAAAGACCTGGGAGTAAGTGGATTGAGTTGGGCCTTAGAAGGAGAGCCGGGAACAGGCCAGGGGAGTTGGAGCCTGGCCAGGTATGGAGAGAGCAGGGTACACTTGCTGCACCTGTGAGAGGAGCCAGGGGTGGCCCTGGTGGCCTGGGCCCACTTAGCTGGCTGCAAGTCATTACTACAGGCTCTGGATGGAGAGTGCAGAGTAGCACGCTCCTGCTCACTCCCTTCTCCAAGTCCACAAAGAGGCAAGAAAGGGAGGATTTTAAACCCAATCCATACTGCATGGCGGGTGAGAGCAGAGGAGCAAACAGCACTTTTGGATCCTGGAAAGCAGAGGATGAGTGAGTGTCCCAGGCATCACTGACCTGAGAAAGGCGACTCCAAAGCCAGCAGCAGCAACAGCTGGAACTGCCCTAGCCTACACCACAGGACCCCCAGCTCTGGGACTGAGCAGCACCGGGGACCTCTGGGCTGGGGTGGAGAGGGATGGCTGGAATCACGTTGCAAACAATATATTCAGTAGGCAGGCAGCTCCCTAGATTCCACCATGGTCTGCAGAGGCCAACACCTGTCCTGACATCTTACCGGCGGGCCCTGGAGAGCCATCTCCTACAGAGGCAAAACGAAGGGTCTCTGGGCCAGGACCAGGCCTGTTCAGGGGGATGTGTGGCTAAGTGCATAAGGGGTGCTGAGACTAGCCCTCGTGTCCAGGCAGTCCCCAGGGCATGGGTAGCCAGGCCCTCCCCTTCCAGACCAGAAATGAGAAGACTCCATCTAATCTCATTGCATGACCAGCGACTGGTGAAGCTGTCAGTTCTCTCTCCATCCCAGCAGGAGACAACCCGACCTCAGATATCCCTCAACCCAGGGACCCAGCCAGGCCACCCTCCAGAGCATCTCAGTCTGCAAGCCCCTTGGTATACTTGGAGCTTCCAGTCACCCCGCTCATGCCTATCCATGCACAGCCAGGGATTGCCCTTCATGGAGGAAAACTTCCTGAAACAAACAAGAAACAAGCTCCGTGGGGAACACAGACCGTGGAGGAAAAAGAAAGCTGTAGAAAAAGATAGTGGACACCTTCATGGAGGTGCGAGAGCCATCGTGAAAGGAGAGGAGGTTATAAAAAGTTCCTAGAGAGCAAAATAAGGGCCCTTGGGGGCACAATGATTGCCACCATGGAGACACATTTCGGTGCCACTGGAGTAAAAACACTGCAGACGGGTGAGCTCTCAACAGATAAATGTCCCTCACCTTCTTTCTCAGGAAAGATGGGCAGAAATGAGGGCAGAAGCCACAGAGAGGAAACCGTGGTGACAGGACCCAGGGTCCTCCAAGCTGCAGTGGAGCAAGTGCTCGGGACAGTGGCGAGGGAGCAGTTCAGCCCCAGGGTGGTGCCTGGCAGCCCGTCTCAGGACGTCCCGCCCAGGGCAGCAGTACAGCAACATGGATAGAAAGCCGAATTCCCCAGAAGAGCCTGAGAGAACACTGAAGTACTTGGCATAGAGCCTCGGGTTGGATTCGTAGTACGTACAGAATGATCCGCATGTGAAGATAAGACGATTATTGGCTTCAGAGAAAACAGCAGTGCAAGCAAGAAAAGGTAGCTAGTCCCAGTTTACGATCTGGCAATAGCGTTTACACAGTCGTCACGATAGAAATGCCGAGTCAGGATCTAGTTTACTGTAGAACTCTATCAGGAGGACTGGAAGATAGGGAATGCAGTTGGTGAAATGGAAGCTAAATGCTCTTTTTCTTCAGTGGGAAGGTGTGGCTTGAAGATGATTATAAACTCTCTGCCTCTTGAATCTTGCCAGGCTCCGGGGCTGCTAAGCTAATAATGTGGCAGAAGGGGCACTGCTAGTTGCAGGCCCAGGCCTTCAAGACTAGCAGCTTCCCCGTCTCTGGAAACCCACCTGCCCTTCTGTGAGGAAGCCCAAGCAGCTCTGGAGAAGCCCTTGTGGAGGGGCTGCTCTCAGCCCACAGCCGGCACCAGATGGGCAGCCATGCAGACCCCCAGCCTGCAAGCCAGGCCCGCTGAGGCCTCAGAGTACACACAGGCAGTCCCATCAGCCCTGCCCAGATGGCAGTTTTGTGATCAAAATATAGACAATAGACTATCATTGTTTAAGGTTGTTTGGGGGTAGTTTGTCACACAACAATAGATAGTAGAACATTAGTAGACTCTGTGTGTGTGTGTGTGTGGGGGGGGGGGGGCATATATATATAGCATATATATATAGCTTAAAATTCAGACATGAAGAAGTATCTTATTTAGCAACAGTGGTAAATATTAAAATAAAAAACCAAGAGAGGGGAAAGTGGTTGCCTCGGAGATGGGAAAATGTGAGGAGGGAGACGGGGAACTGCTGTTTGTTTTGTTTTAACCTCGTAGATCGGTTTGATACTTTAAACTACATTCACTTATAATTTGGACAAAAGTAAAAACTGAAGTTGAAAAAAAATGTATTCATGCTTAGCACAGGAATGATCCATAATTAGATTCCAAGGCTTTTACATTCAGCATAAGGTGTATGAAACAGTCCACTATTCTAGCAACAGATAAAATTCCTACTGACACGCAACCTCAGGTTCCCACTCGGTTAGAAGGCTGCGTATGGTCTTCTACTTAAAGCCTCAAGTAACAGTCATGGCAGTGACAAATCCTCATTGCCTCCATGGAACCTCTAGGCTCATGTGTGAGCCCAGGCTGGGCTGGGGTCCCTGGGAGCCCAGGGTGAGTGGCCAGTCCCTGGGCAACTCCGTGAGCCAGGAGCAGCTGTGTCACCTGCACGGTCGATGGGTCTCCTGCAGAAGAGTGTGCCCCAGTCCTTGCTGGGCACAGATGTAAGAGGTGTTCATGGGTCGAAATCACAGATGTCAAGGGCTGATAGGAGTCAGAGTGGGGACTGGGAGGGCTGAGGCAGGTTAAAGATTTGAGAGGGGCTGCTGTCTGCGCAGCTGCATCACACTGCTCTGCTGTCCCCTCCACGTTCCCCCACTGCGGCCTCCCCTGGGGTCTTGAAGTAACTGAAGGCCCCTCAACCTGGCTCATCATCAGAGCAGACTGTTGATTAGCTGCGGGCAAATATGAAGAGGCGATTTCCTGTCACAGAAAGGCTGTGGTGTCTTTCTGAAGCTACGGAGCTGACGCAGGCTGAGCAGGCTGACCTTCCGCTGGAACTGCACAGGCATAGCCACGCGAAACTGCGCTGGTTTGCCCAGGAGACGCGGACAAGGGCCCAGTAGAACGCAGACAAGGATGGGGCTGCCCATCTTCAGGCCTCTCACAGCCCCTCTGCTGAAGATGCAGAAGCACAGCCCTCCACAGAGGAACGCCCACCCGAGACTCAGGGCGTCTGTGACAGGGATCCAGACACACGACTGTTTTTACTTCAGCAAAAGACTGAGCCAGCAGAGCTGTGTATTGGAAGCAAAGCCTCAAAGCACGATGAACACCTGTAGAGGAGCAGGCAACCCAGTTGCAGATTTGAAGAGGCATGTGGAATTCCTTGTGGCAGAGAAAGAAAGGTTGAGGAAAGAAAGTGTAAACAGGTAAAGGCTGAAAAGACCAGACTTCTAAAAGGTCCAGTAGAAAAGGAGCTGAATGCGGGTGCTGATTTTGTAGAAAAGTCAGTTACGGAGCGTGCCTCTGCATTCGGAAACCGCTGCACCCTCTTCAGCCTTGCAGAGGTTTGCAGCAGATGCCAGGAAAGTCAAGTACGTTCCAGTACCCGATCTTCTCCCTCGGATTTTCCATCTCCAGAGCGTCCCCTTACAGAGCTCTCTCAGGATATTCTGAAAGGATTTATGAGTAATTAAAATGGAAGGCCATAGAAGAAGGGAGAAGAGGAAATAGTACTAAATAATACAGTTAATGCAGCAACAAACAATGAAAAGGGAAAGCCACAGGCAAGGGTAATGCTGGAAATGCCTCGTCATCTGGCGTACTGTGGGAGAAGAGGCATTGCCAGGACATGGGGAACAGTCACTGTGAAGCGTGTCGCATATCGGATTCACTGACTTGAGCTAATGATGCCGACGTGGCAGACACTAAACTCATGGAGGGTCAGTTTCTCCTGATACCAACCAAATGGCTTCCTGGAAGATTTTTTTCAAGCAGCAATTATTTTTCTTATCGTCAGGGTTAAAATGTTTAAAAGTATGTTATGTGTAATTAATCTATAATGCCATAAATGATCATGCAAAACCTAAATATTAAAATGACGGCCTGAGGGGCTGCTTCGTATTTGAAACATACTTTGTCTCAGGCATTGATGTATGCATTTTGTTAATGATGTTGTGTTTAAGGTGTGTAAGACACTCCTTTCTAGATGAAACCGGATGTGCCACACTGTGCACTACTCGTAACAATGATAACCTCAAGACTATCAGGAGAAATGTTTAAATTTCCGTGTTATGAAGAAACCAAATTATTAGTTATGCTTCTTAACACCAGTTACCAGTTTACATAATTAATAAGGGTGCATTTTAAGTTCTAACTCTGTTTATTGCATAATGCATCATTTGAAAATACCAAGGAAGTCTGTTCTTTGTTTTTAATGATCCGCGAGTGGAAGGAATGCTAGTTGGCAGTATTTGATTGTAAGAAATCAATAAAGTAATTGTATTTTTTAAAAAAAGATCTGAGCCCTGGTGGAGGCAACAGGACGCGATGACTTTCACATTCAAGAAGGTTCTGGAGAGCGATGCCTTTCACATTCAAGAAGGTTCTGGAGACGAGAGGTGATTCTTAGAATGATGAGCTTCAATTTGCACATGCCTGAGTTTAGGTTCTGAATTTAAAACCTTATTGTAAGATCATCTCTTTGTACCTTCTCTCTTTTTAAGGGTTTTTATAGTTTGGTGGCAGTTTGTTGTTTTGTTTTGTTTTTAATATTTAGAAAGTCACTTTAGGAGAAACATCCATTTAAATAATTTATTTTACTTCAGAATGTTGTTTTTCTCAACCAGGCTCATGAACTGTGTTGTGTTCTTTAACATTCACAAATTGTGTATTGCTTGGTTCTGGAAACCAGTTAGCCAAATAATTGAGACCCCACCAGAAATTGAAGTGCAAAATAGAACAGGAAAGCAAAACTCTCCATTAGTGTATTCAGCTTAACAGGTTTTCAACCTACCAGTCGTCCTCCTGGTTCTTATGATACAAGATCAAGGTTAAACCACTGAATACAGTTACAGTGTCCTTGACTTCATAAGCTTTCCTTTCCACGCATCCATATAGATGCCCGAAGCACCGTTCAGGGCAGAATTTAGTCTTGTCCCACACTCTCAAAGGACAACCATGATCTAGGACTTGGCTGAACCACACACCTACCAGGTGCCCCTGCCTGTGCTGCCATCCTTGGGCCAAGGGGAGGCCTGGCCCTTGCCACTTCAGCAGGGGTGAAGGGTCAGTCCACTTGGGGCTCAGGGTGCCTGTCTGAGCGCCCCCTCCCTGAACCTGCTCCTGTGCCTGCAGCTTCCCGCAGGCTGAGGCCCCAGTGCCCTGCTTGTGCTGCTGAGGGAGGCTCCATGGCCTGTTGAGAGGCCTCCCCAGGAAGCCCGTGGGGAGGAGGTTGGGGTGTCTCCTGCCTTGGGGGTGGGACAGTCCCTTCTTGTTCCCACCCCAGGTACCTGACCCAAGTTCTTCTGTGTGTGAGGAATGCCTGGATGTCCCTCCCTGGTAGGTGGGATGGGACAGAGGGAGGTCCTGCCTACACAGCCCTTAATTAGGAATTTAAGAGATTTGTGCTCTAGGAAGGAACTGCTTCCGCTACCATTTGGCCCACTGTGTGGTGTGCAGACCCTCAGATCGGAAACAGGTTTCAAAGATGTTCAGGACTTGTCTCGTGTTCATGAAGGTCAGGGTTCACCTCTTCCCCCCTGCTCCCCCTGCTAACTCTGCAGCAGACCCTGCACTAATTAAGTCCCCACAACAGCCCTGAGCCCCAGGCTCTGTGAAAGTTGTCAGAATCAAAATGGAGCCACTTTTGTCCAACCCTAAGAGCAACAGCAAAATAATGTAGCCGGGAGGTTGTGAAGGAGGCCCCACCCGCACACCTGCCTGTGATTCCGAAGCCTCTGGGAAGGGCTCTGAGGCGCAGACGCCTGAAACAAGACCTTTTTCCAGAACTTCTCAGGACTTTGCAGCTCGCTACATGAGTCAAAAGGACGGCTAGCCGGATGCACAAGAACACTTGCTTGATACGCTGTGTCCACTTGTAAATTGATGTCCGCTCCTGGGATAAGCCCCTGGAACCAGTGTTCTCTTCCTTTCAAAACAACCATGTAGCCAAATGTGGTGGCAAGTGCCTGTAATCCCAGCTACTCAGGAGGCTGAGGCATGAGAATCGCCTGAACCCAGGAGGTGGAGGTTGCAGTGAGCCAAGATCGCACCACTACACTCTAACCTGGGCAATAGAGCAACTAAAAAAAAAAAAAAAAAAAAAAAAAAAAATGAGCATGCACTGCTCCTTTGGCCTTTCAAAGCCCTCCTTGCTTCCCCTCTGATGCGCCCCTAGTTTACTAAGGCTGGGGCTCCACATGCAGTGCTGCTGCTTGTTCCCAATTATACTCCACAGTTTTGGGGAGCCTCCCTCTGTTTCTTGAGGTTGGCAGGACTATCATTCTTCTTGTTCGTAGATGAGGGAATTAAGGCTTGGAGAGGTTCCGTTTTGAAGGACACTCAGTAAGTGGTGGAGAGAGAATTTCAGCTCAGACCCAAAGGCTATTTAATTTACTTCTTTTAAATCCGTGCTTCTTAGCGCTCAGCTAATCACCTATCACCTTGACAGCTTTTTGCCATAGCCACATTACTGCCTGTGGTATTACTGAATGTTTTTCTCTACATAAGCTCAGATTTTCCTTAAATCTATTAGAAAAGAAAACTTGTAACTGAAAAATGGGGGACCACCATCTCTTACCGTAAACAGAAGCCACTGTGTATTCCACACACACCAAAAGCAATGTCCTTACAGCCTCCTTAGGTGCTTTGAGTCTAAAGCATGCTTTGTCTTGTTAAAGGGGAGATGGCAAAGTTAGGGTGGCAGTGAAGACATTATAGAACCAACTGAGATTCTCTCCTTGACATTATCAGAAGGGTTGGAAGAGAATCAAAAAATAACCAGCTGGGCACAGTGGCTCATGCCGTAATCCCAGCAGTTTGGGAAGCCAAGGTGGGCAGATCGCTTGAGCCCAAAAGTTTGAAACTAGCCTAAGCAACATAGCAAGATCTCGTCTCTACAAAAAATACCAGCTCCACAGGAGGCTGAGGCAGGAGGATGACTTGAGCCCAGGAGGCCGAGGTTGCAGTGAACTGAGATCACACCACTGCACTCCAGTCTGGATGACAAAGCTAGATCCTGTCTAAAAAATAACTTTCTCATTGTGAAGTTTAATGCTATTTAATGTCTTGTCTGATGGCAGCTAAAACATGCCCCATACCACCTAATCTGGAGTATCACACTTTGGAAATAAGTGTGTGTCACATTTTGGAAAATGCTGATTGCAGTGAAAGTGGGAAATGTGGCTGGAACCCATGCATCTAATCTGGATCACATTGCATAGTGTTCATTCCTTTTTCCTTCTTTGTTTTTAAGATACGTCAAACATGATGAATAGTGCATAAAACAGAAAGGTATGGCCTGAAGAATAATTACAGAATTGAACACCAAAGTAACTGCCACCCAGATCAAGAAATTGTGGCCAGGGTTCCCCCACACCGCCCCATACCTTTCCCATTGAAAACACTATTCTTTCTTACCACTGAATGTTTTTTCTTTTTAAAGATAAGATCTCACTGTGTTGCCCAAGCTGGTCTTAAACTCCTGGGCTCAAGCGATCCTCCGGCCTCTTAAAGTGCTGGGATTACAGGTGTGAGCCACTACACCCACCACTGAATTTTTGGATACTCATTTTATTTTCATAGGTTTTTTTTTTTTTTTTTTTTTTTTTTTTTGAGACAGAGTCTTGCTCTGTCACCCAGACTGGAGTGCAGTGGCACGATCTTGGCTTACTGCAGCCTCCACCTCCCAGGTTCAAGTGATTCTTCTGCCTCAGCCTCCAGAATAGCTAGGATTACAGGCACATGCCATCACACCCAGCTAATTTTTGTAGTTTTAGTAGAGATGGGCCATGTTGGCCAGGCTGGTCTCAAACTCCTGACCTCAGGTGATCTGCCCGCCTCGGCCTAGTTGCTGGGATTACAGGCATGAGCTACTGCACCCGGCCTCTTTTCATAGTTTTATCCCCCATATAGTTTAGGTTCGCCCCATTTGAACTTCATGTATGAGTAAGATATGTTCTATCCTATGTGTTCCTTTGTGATTTGCATCTTTTGTTCAACTTTGTGTTTTTGAGATTTGTTTAATCTGTTGTGTTACAAAATCCTGGTCATTTCCATTGCTATATAATATTCCAGTTATGAAACTCTTGACACTTTTTCTGCTGTTGATGAGCCTTTGGGTTTTTCAATGTCTGGCTATTTCAACAATGCCACTTTGCACACGCTGGTGCTTACATCCTGGGACACGTGTGCCAAGTTTCTACAGGACACTTTCCCAGGATGGAATTGTTGCAGCCTGGTGTGTGCACATCTTGACGTCCTGAATGATGCTCTTGAGTCTGGTGTTTGGGGTGCCTATTCCTCCACCTCCCTATGGGTGGATTTTTAGGTCTTTGCCAATCTGGAGTCTGTGATACCTCCCCCACCCCACCCCTGTGGTTTATTCCACATTGATTGGACGCCTTTTCGCATATTTACTTCTGAACTCAGCCTGAGGTTACCAGATCCTCTGGTTGAGGCTCCACCTCTGGGTGTGCCCCGGGCTGCTGGAGAACAGACTCCCTGGAGCTCCATCTATCTGTGCAAGGGAACAGGGGTCAAACTCAAGTGTACAAGCCGCTCTGGAAGATGCAGCCCAGGCCTGGCTGGCCCAGGGCCACTGGTCCCTCCCCCGGCTTCCTCCTCCAGGAAGAGGTGTGCACACACACAGGCACGTACACGTGGGCAAGGCTGGCCCAGCCCAGGCTGCAATCATGACAAAGACCAGGCTCCACTTAATGTTGTCACCACCTGCCCCACCCTTTCCCACAGCACTAGAACTCTGGGCCCCGGCTCCTGCCAGCCCTACCTGTCTGGGCTATGGTTGGTGAGAAACAAGGAGGTGCCAGGGCCGCCAGACCACCCTACCTGCCTACTTTCTGCTGTGTCCAGGACTCATGGCAGCAGGAGGCCAAACCCACACTGTGGCCTGGGCTGTGTGCTTTGAGCTTCACCTCCCTTCAGCACCAGAACAGGGTCTGGCTATAGATGGCTCCCAGGAAATACAGAAAAAATGGGTGAATGAACGAGTGACAGGGTGTCTCATTCCACACAAGACACAATGAGTGGGAGCGGGGGTGGCTCCTGGCTGCAGGATGCACACTGCCCTCACCCAGATGGCATCTGCCCCCAACACCCCACTCTTCCCTGGGGGACACTGGGGCCCACCCTGAGCTGCCTTTCTCAGGACCCCAGGTCAGGCAAGCCACACCCTACCACTCCCTTCAGCCAGTGTGGCTTCAGGTCACCAAGCGGGGGCAGGGCCAAGGTGGCAACGAGGGGAGAGGCCGGGACACAGTCCTCCCCGATTTCAACTCTGATCTCAGTGTCCATCCAGTCCAGCTCCTCCAGGTGCTGACCCAGGACATGCCTGATGTCTTCACCAGCTGCTGCACCTGCAGAGTTGGGTCGGGGAGCCAGGGTCAGCCCAGCAGCCTTTCACTCTGGTGCACCACTCCTGGCACGAAGAGTGCCCCATCTTTAGGCACCACTTACAAAGCCCAGAGCTTGGTTCTGAGCACCAAGAGGAAACCCTGGAGATGGGGATCCAGGCCCTGCACCCCCGACAATAAGCTCATAGGCTAGAAGAGGAAACTGCCACAGTAACCACCCTGGACATCCCTTAAGGCCACGCCTCCCGAGCAAGGCTGAGAAGGCTGGTCAGGGGCTTCGTGGGGTGGGTCACCTTCCGCTGACAGACCAGGTAGTCTTCCTGGAGGAGGAGGCCTGCGGAGGAGCAACCTGGAGCCACAGAATGGGCTGAGCCCTTAGCAAGGCCTGGTGCTACTGGCTGCAGGGGCATGTGTGGGGCTCCCTATGCTAGGACCATGGCCTCGGGAGGAATCCACCCTCTCAGCTCAGCACCAGCCTCCCAACCCTAAACCAGGCCAGCCCACCTTGGCAGCTGAGAAGTGTTCGTGTACAAAGAGGGCACCAAGTGCCACGCCAAAGTGGTGGTTGGCCCGGCACGGGCAGACCTCGGCCAGCTCCTGCGGCTTGTGGCTTCCCTCTATCTCCCGTGCCAGCTCGCGCAGCGCTTCCCGGAATGGCGGGGACAGGTGCTTACTCAGGACCACCACCACGCGCCACACTAGGTAGTTGTGCAGGATCCTGGGGCCAGGTGAAGCCGGTGGATGTCCAGACAGATGTGCATATGGGCCACCAAGAACACTACCCCCACGTGTGCCCCCCAGCCTGTGGCTGGACCCAGGACCCAGACAACCCCACAAAGAAGGGACAAGAGGTCATCCCAGACAATGCAGAGCAGCGGGGAGAGCCAGGATGTCAACCTAGGGCTTGGATTCCTATTCCAGTGCTCAACAGCTGCCTCCCTCAGTGTGGCTACCGGACACAGGTGGAGGTGGAAATCAAAGCCCACCCAGCAGACAGGTACTGGAGGCTGGTGGACAGGGGCTGGCCGATCTGCAGCCATCCCTATGGGGTGCGGAGTGGATGAGCTGGGTCACCTGCTACACTTAGTCTGTCGCCAGCACTAGCACCTCTTCTTCCTCCGAGAACCAGTAAAACTCCTGGCACAGGTCGATGCTGGCATCCACGTTGGCCGTCAGGAAGCGAGCGGCGCGCGAAGGCCTTGCGCTAGGGGCAGCCCTTGGGACAGGTGCCGCCGCCCGCCGCGATCGACCCAGGTACTTGAGCGCCAGCAAAGCCCCCAGGATGGCGCAGAGGCCGGCGGCGAACACCAGCCCCGACAGCTGGCTCACTTCGCGCGGGTTCCAGCGCGGCAGCCCGGCCCGGGCCCCGGTGGCGCTGCTTCCTGAGAGAAGCCTGAGAGGCAGAGAGGCTCCGCGCACGCCCCCAGTGCCTCAGTGACTCAAGTACTTGACCTCCTGGAACTCGTCGTAGTGCGCCCTCAGGGAATACCGGGACTCCAAGGCGCCGAGGCCGCCGCGGTGCAGCTCTGGGCCACCTGGGCTACGGGATGCGCGCGGCCGCCGGCCTCCTCGTGGGCCTCCGCATGGCCCCGGGACGCAGCTGCGAGAGAAACAGAGTCAAGCTCAGGAGGCGCAGCAGCCCGACGGAGCTCCCGGGCACCACGAGGAGGGACGCAGGTCTGGGTGCAGAGGCCTCAGCTGCGGACCTCATTCACTGCAGAAACCAGGGACGAGGAGGGCTCGGCGGGGCCACGACCCCCGCAAGCACAGTGGAGTCTTCTCCCCTGTCCCCTCCTGCACACATGTGTCAGTCCCTAGGTCGGGAGGGAAGCGGGAAGGGCCGGGCACGGGGCCTGGCACGTAGTGGGCCTTCATTGAAAGGCCGTCCCTCTTCCCTTCGCCTTTCTAGTCCACGACCTACCCCAGCCAAGGCCGGGTGGGGTGAGAGGGAAGGAGTGGAGGCTGGAGTGAGGAGGTGTGGGCAGGGGCGCGTCTATGCGGCACTCTCAGCTCTCGGCGCTGGACCCAGACAGACGTTCCACAAAGTGGCCAAAGAACCAAACTTTGTCCTCGCAGAAATCCGCAGGATCCACCACTCCAACACCGCTCGCTGGCTCCTTCTACTCGGTGGTCCGACGGCCCACCCACCCTTCCTCACCGGCGCGCACCAACACCCCAGGGTCGCGGATACACAGTCCATCCTCTGGACGGCCCTGATGGAGAACCCGAAACCGGCTCAGTCTCCCCGACCCTCGTCTCTGTCTCCGCCCGGGGCCAATCCCGGCTTCAACAGGTTTTCCCCAGAACCCAAACTTGGATGAAGTTTCACCCCCTCGCGGGGCGCGGGCTGGCCGGGCGCGCCCGGAGTCCTGGAGCCGCGCCGCTCAGTCAGTGGAGACCGAGAGCCGAGCCTGGGAGCCGCAGCTTCAGCCGCGAGGACGTAGATGAAGCCAGGAGGCTCCGCGCAGCGGCCGCGAGGGCGGCGGAGGTGGCCGCTACTGTGGCCACTTACCCGGCAGGTGCGCGCCCAAGGCAGGGCCTGGAGCGGCGCCGTTGCCTGAGTCTCCCAGCGCCCGCTGCCTCTTCTGCCGCACCCCCGCCCGCCCGCCGGCCCGAAGGAGGGGTCGCGATAGCAGCTCCACCCTCCTCCGCCCGCCTCGCGCCCACCTCCTTCCTCCTGCGACCCTCGGGCCACCTGGCAGCTCGGCGGCAGCGCGGACGTGGGTCGGCGGCCCCGGAGACAGGCTCCGTGCGCGGGTTGCGGTCGATGATTCGGGGTCCAGCCGCGTCCCGGGACAAGTGAAGGCAGCGGGTACTCCCGGGAGGAGTCTCCTCCGGTCCCAGGTCCCCACTCGGAGCTGCCCACCAGCCGGCTACAAGGGGGCTGGAGCTACGCAGCTGGGGGCCGTCATGCCTCAGCCTACAGCCCTGGAGCACCGCCCAGAGAGAACTCCTCCTAAAGGATAAGGGGGCCCTGATGGAGTGCCTGGGCTGCCGGCACAGCGCCTGCGCGGAGCGCACCTTCACCAGGGAGCTTCCTTGTCCTCCTGTGAAACCTTGTCCAGGATCAACTCTCCCCGGCGGGTCTAGGCTTCAGGTTGGCCTCGCCCCCTTCCCCCAGCTCCTGATCCAGGAGAGCAACAGAGAGCCTCTGCCAGAAAAAGGCCTGGCGCTGCGAGTGCGGCCCCCATGGCACCAACGTGTAGTTGACCCAGAGCACACCAATCGCGGCCTACGGAAGGTAACTTGGGTTTAGCCTCTGAACACACAGTACTGGTCACCCTGCACAGACTGTCTTTACTGGGGGCTCCGAGCTCAGCTCCTTGGCTCTCCTGCAGTTTCGCCAAAAGGGAAACAGCCAGCCCTCCGGCTCCCTCACTCTTTTGGGGTCCCCACCCCTCATTGCTAAACTGACCCCTTGACTCACAAGCAAGAGAATGACAGGCCACAGCAGTGCCCAGCTAAACCCAGCCAAGCCCTGAGTGAGGCAGCTGGATGCCCAGTGTGGATGGGGGTAGGGGCTGCGGGCAGTGGGGGCGGAGGCTGCGGCCAGAGCTGCCTTGGAGAGAGAAGGCCCAAGAGGGTGCAAAGGGCACAGGTGAGAGGTTCCGAATCCCAACCTGCGCCTCCTCCCTGAGGAAGGCGGATCCCAGCCAGTCTTGCCTGTGAACGTTGTCAGAAACCAAATGAAGTCACTTTTTCTAAAAACTCTG